CATACACATAATTATGTGCAACATGTCTGGAACACCATAAATAACATGCTAGTTAAGGGAATTTCGTTCTAGAGAGTTTTTGTTTCACAATCTGAATAGCTGGTCTAACAAGAAAAGTGAATGTTCTAGAGCTCCCTGGAACATTTTAGGTGTGGAAAGAGACTTTTCCTTGTGCATGATGTGCATCATTTTGGGAGCAAAGGCCATGGTGAGGACAGTGACATATTGATGTCATTAGAAAAACCAAGATGGAACTTGAGACATTTTTGGTTTGTTGGTTCAGGAAAAGTTTTTGTGGCTTGAATTATCATTCTTTACTCAGTTCAATAACTAGCTGGAAAATGTATGTCTATTATTTAGTGGTTTATGCTGAAAAGTCTGGAGACAACAGGTACTGAAATATTAACAATAGCAATTGATGATGACAATGATGAGTTGGAGACCATAAGAAGCCAGTAGTTTATAATGCCCATATCTGAGCAACGTGTCTCCAACATTTCCAAATTGTCTTCAAATTACAAAGACAAATGGTTCCTTTCATATTCCCAATTATATTCTATTGATGGAACATAAGAACACTGGAAGTGTTGATGTTGGTGTTTGTCTCCATGCATCTATAAAGGTGCTACAATAAATATTGTATGTCTTATGTTTTCCATGGCTTTGCTTTGTTTTAAATCAGCTTATATAAAAACCAACCAGAGCTCCTTATCTAATTGTCTGTTGTCTCGTCTCTTCATAATGGTTCAGTTACTAGCTTTGCTAGGAAGGACTTACATCATTAGACATAGTATAATTGGTGCTGCGGGATTTAAGTAAATTAGATATCAGCTGCATAAACAAGGAAACTTCCTCTGAGGTTAATTATGTGTGGAAACACTAGCTGAAAGTTTGCATGTCACCTTAGAGACAGGGCTCTGAAGCAGAGAAGAAACAATGAATGCCCAGCTTTCTTGTCTGCAATGTAGTAGTTCATGTTGCCAACAATGCTACATACTCTGCGCAGCTGCAGAGTCCTATCCAACCATCCCATAAGCAGTGCAGTGAGATGGAATTCTGCATTCACCATTTGTGACAAAGACTGTCTTCATCTTCGTTCGTCATACAAAGTACTCTTTTTCTTTCTTTCTAGATGTTTAGCCTTGTTGCAAGGCAACTGATGTCTCTGCCATACTCAGATGAGACTCTCTTATTGCTAAGAGCAAATCAAAGGGGGAAAAGCTTTGATCTCATGTAAGAAGAAATAAGCCCCCCCCCTTTTTTTTTGGCAAGGACTGAAAAAAAAATAGAGCTGAGATGGTCATGAGGCAATTTTATTTGACCATAGAGACTCTTCCAAGGATGTTTGTCACACAGATGGTGTGCATCTTCACCATAGCTACCTACTTAGAGACATTCAGCTCTTGAATAGCATGAGAGGAGCCACAAATATTCAAGCAATATTTGACCAGGGCAAAAAATGAGGATATGGGCAAATGAAAAATTTAATTCTATTTATATTAAATTAAAATCTGAATATAATTAAACTTATTGAATATTATTCTCATTCATCAAATACTTTTGGATTGCTTGTGTACCTTTACCTTAATGACAATGGCCACGGAGCAGAGATACCTAAGAAAAATGTTGTTAAATCTATGAAACATTGAACAGAAAATGTAGCATTAATTGCTCAATGGCCTATGTTGTTTTCCTTGCTCATGGCAGCCCCTGCAAACCTTGGTTTCCCTACAATAGGAGTTCTTTTCTTCCCTTGAATGATGGTTTAATACAGGGGTCCTCAACCTTGGCAACTTTAAGACTTGTGGACTTCAACTCCCAGAGTTCCTCAGCCAGCAAAGCTGGCTGAGGAATTCTGGGAATTGAAGTCCACAAGTCTTAAAGTTGCCAAGGTTGAGGACCCCTGGTTTAATGCATGATACCCTGCTCTGTGCACGCCGAGTCACTACGCCAAACTTTCCTTTTTAGGTAAAGCTTTCTCTTAAGGCTTGCTAACAGGAAGCAATAGGAATCTCACCAACCCCATTCTCTCCTGGAAGAGCAGGGGTCTGATGCTCTAGGGAGGGCTACCTCCAGAGAATAAAAAGAGTGGCCAATTAGCACTCTTCAACAGGTTTGATCTGCCTTGCAAAGTTCTAATAGAGCCTGGCACTGAGTAGCATCCCTCCCTCCATTCATGGTGACATCATCTGGAAAATATGAATGAGAGAAATTACTCAACAAGATAAAGTCATTTTGGACCCATACATTTTGTTTTTATCATCCACAGTGTGTTTAAACCACAGATGGTGAGCTTATGAATTTTAAGAGGCCACAGTGAAGGGCTGAGGAGCAAGATTTTTCAAGCTGACCCTCTCTTCCATATAAGGAGTGCCATGCTCCATAGTTGACTTTAAAGAAGCAGTTGGAGTTAAATGAAATTGCTGATAAGGCAGCCAGCTTGAGCTTGCTGATTTACAGCATGGAAAAGGCAGAGTATATTTTAAAATGCTTAAACTACATTCTTTGTCAGAGTGACTGTTGTAATGTCTATTACCTTCAAAAATAGCACCCATGACCCTTGTCCAATATTCATCATATTTATATAATATCAAAATCATATTTTTTTTAAAAAATGGTCAAATTATTAATATGTCATGATTTTGTCTCTGGTAATGTTCAATTGCATTTGGAAAAGAGAATATGTGATTAAAAAGCTTTTGCCATTGATTCTACAGAGTAATTAGGAGGAAAAGAAAGGATAAGAGGTAAAAAAAAAAGTATTTAAAAAATAATCCATCCTGCAAAGATCAGAACTTTCTGGAAAATAACAAGGTATACATATACCAAAGATATCTGCTAGACTAAAGTAAGCATATGCTTTAAAAAGTGGCTTCAAAACTCAGGTTGCAAGCATTTAGATTTTCAGAGTAATTTTATTTAATTTATGCATAATGTAGGTAGAACTAAAACTTGTTTTGAAGGATCAAAATAAATTCTCTGTGTTATGGCAGCAGGTTTAGTCCTTGAAAAAAATGACATATTTTTAACAAATTCATTTGTAATAAAAATTGTGACAATAACCTCTTAAAGAATGAGTATATTCCGCCATCTTGTGGAGCAATTGAGCCTTGCATCTATTTCACCTCCAACCTCAAAAGGTATTTTCGCATAATCACCGCCTTTAACTTGTGTACTACCAAATCAGCTCAGTTTTCATATTTGCATTCAATGTGATTAATAGGGGGGAAATACGGCATGACCATTTTGAACAGTAAGTGCAGTGACATTCAGAATAAATGCAAACAAAGTTGAAATGGGCTCTTTAATTAGGGCAATTTAATTAGGGCAAACATGGTTTGCCATTAGCTTAATTTAATTAGGGCAAACATGGTTTGCCATTAGCTTAACAGCAGCATTTTTTCATCAAGTTGTGTGATTTTGAAAGATGATTATTGTATTTTCTAAAGCACATTGCTGAACCATTCAATTCCTAAAATTGTGCGTGAAGATGTTCATTTCAAATGAGTTAATTATTAATCATTATGCATTTCCAAGACCATAAATTGTATCATTGTAAGCCCTTGATGCTTGGTTTACTTTTATGCTTCAGAAATACAGTATTTAGTACTAAGCTGTTGCTTATTAGGAAAAAGTGTTTGGGAGCTATCCACTAACTCACTTTGACTATTCAGAACAAATCTACAGAACTACATGCTCTATTCAGAATAATCTTTTATTACAAGACAGATTTTGAGCCTTTGTTTAGTTTATATAGTCTCTGAGTTATCTTGAATACTTCACTTTTTATATATTTTTTTGCAACTTGTTATATTTTTTGTCTCTCTGAAAAGTAATTAATGTATTTATTAATGAAATTTATAAAGATCACCTATTTGACAGAAAATAATACAATAAACTGGTTTGGCAAGAACAAACTGCTGGGACATGTTGCAGATTAAAAACTTTTTAATTAATTTGACATAGAAGACTTGACTTCCATTATGAATGGCAGAATAATGGCCTCTGTCCCTACTTGTAGGTTAAACTAAAATATTTATAAAAACATTCCTGAATACTTTGTTCTGTTTTCTTAAAATTCTGCACTATATTTTTATTCCATTTTTGAGTAGATACACATGAATACTTTGGGTAACACAGTCTTTGGAAAAAGAAGCTGGAGGCAAAAATTAAGATGTATAGTTCCACTCAGGCGAGAGCATTAAATAAAGTGTAAAGATGGAAACCTGAACTATGAAAAAAATTCAGTGTTGTTATTAGCTGTATTTTATATAGTACTCAGCAGGTATATGAAGCAGCCGTATTTTCTTCATAGCCATATTTTCTTGAATTGCAGGAAAGAGCAACAGAGAGCTGGCTGCCAGTGCAATACTTAGTTCCCCAATTTATTTTTTTGCCATGTGGCAACAAATTGTGTGACACACCACACAATCATCTTCCAACTTTGTCAGCCCTTTCTGTAAGTGTAGCATTACAGAGGCTCTGATACCCAATCAGAACAGAGCTATATTTTATATATCCATTGAACTGCAAGAAGATTAGCCTGCAACTAACCATCAGGAAATCAGAGTTATGCCCTTAGGTGTTATGTTGAAAAGCTTGCAGCTCTATAGCATAGGCAGTCCCTGCCTACCTTCAGAGACCACCATATTCAGCTCAGAAGAGAGTTTGCAAGAAATTTTAAGGATGCAGGGTGGTGTGCTTGAATTGTTTAATTATGAAGGTGGCTTAAAGACATATCTGAGTGTCCTGTCTTTCACTGTACTGTTTCTAGCTCTCCATGCCTGAATTAAATCCCAAAATAAGACATCAGGAGGACATTGGGCTTCCACTTCCAGATTCAGTAGTAGATTGTTGATTAAAGGGGGTCCTCCCACTGAGAAATTCTTGGAAAATGTATTCTTCCCTTGGAGAAATCATTCATCCAACTTTTGTGTCTACAATACTGGAATTTTAAAAAGTTATTTATGGTTGTTTGCCTATTCTGTCTTCCCTTACAGGACTGTATGTCCTGATAGGAGCAGGAGTACTGATGATGGCAGTGGGATTTTTTGGATGCTGTGGAGCAGCACGAGAGTCTCAGTGCCTGCTTGGAGCAGTAAGTAATCAACACGTACAGTAAGATGATATGAGGCCTCTCTAGATGCAAAATCATTGTGCATTAAGTCAATCATGAATATAAGGTCCCTGTTCTAAGGTATTTGTATTTTGCTTTATTCCAAGTCCAAAACAAGAAAGTCTGTTTTTAAATTCAAACATCAAACTGTGAATTAAGATCCTGGTTAGCAGACTGGTATTAAAAACAGATCTGTTTCTGACATCACAGAGAGCAGATAAAAGCTGGCATAAAAGAGACTTAAAAACAAAAGAGTGGTGGATCTGACATCATATCCCGCTAAATAAATTACAGTTTTTTTAAGTCAGGACACCTATATTAAAATCAATCTGCTGTACATTGGAAGAAAGAGGGAGGTGGAACATGTAAACCTTTTGTATAAATACAATAACTTGGAGGTCCCTTTATTATCTACCCATCATGACCCTAAGTCAGTGGTGGCGAACCTATGGCACAGGTGCCAGAGGCGGCACTCAGAGCCCTCTCTGTGGGCACGCACGCCATCGCTTTCAGCTGGGTTTTATAAAACCTTTCCGCTTTAGGCCTCCGCCGCCCAGTACCAAAAAAAAGGTTCAATCAATCAGTCAATTTCAACTTCTCGCAGGGAAAAAAAAAGATCTTGCAAAGTTGGAATTGATTGTTTGAACTTTTTAGTCCCACCCAGTCTGCCCTTACCACCGCTGCCACGCCCACCCAATGGGCCACGCCCACCCAATGGGCCATACCCATCCGGCACCCAACGATGCATAAGTGGGTTTTGGGTTGCAGTTTGGGCACTCGGTCTCTAAAAGGTTCGCCATCACTGCCCTAAGTCCTAGTCCAGGGGTAGGCAACCTTGGCTCTTTTATGACTATGCTGGCTCAGGAATTCTGGGAGTTGAAGTCTACGAGTCATAAAAAGAGCCAAGGTTGCCTACCCTTGTCCTAGTCAGAAATAATTCACAGTCAGTTTCACAGGACATATTTCTATCTAAGTGGTTATAAGAATTCATGAGGCATTAATTTGCAATTTAGTATTCATTTTTTAGAATCTGGCCTGTTTCAGTGTTGTGAGACTTACCACTTGAGCAAAGCATAAAGAGAACTCTACTACAAAGGCTTTGGATATATTGCAGTGTTAGAAATACTTTTCTGATATTTTTTTATCCCATACTTTCCTTAAAGGTTGAAATTATTTTGATTTAAGGAAAGTTGAACTAGTCTAAAACCTTCCCTTTTGCACCATGAATCTTGTTCTATGTAAAGTATTTCTGTTATTAAAACCACTATTTCTAAATCTCAGAGATTTACATGTTGCTTTCAAGTTTCCATAAAAGTTTAATCTCTAATCTTATCTCCATTCTTTTGTAGTTTTTTACTTGCTTATTGGTGATTTTTGCTGCTGAAATCGCTGCAGGGGTTTTTGCTTTTCTGGGCAAGAAAACGGTAAGTGAAATGCTTAACCACATGCTACCCTAAATATCTTAAACTGAAAAATAGTTTTAAACAGTAAAATCTCTTAAAAATTAAACACAAACTCTGGTGATTTCATGAATGTATCTTGGCAAATATACAGAAAAGGGTTTTTATTGTTTTCTTTGGAGAAGGTTTTTCTTGACTTCCTAGGCTAATTTATAGATCTGATATTTCCTAACTGCATATTCGGTCATTGGAGTGGCAATGTTTTTTATTGCCCAACCTCCCCAATTTCCTTTTGCATCCTATCAACCATGCCCCATCCATCAGTCATGCTGTACCCCAGCCGAAGCCTAGGGCTTGCTTTCTTGTGCTCCTAAATTGCTACAGGTTCACTCTTCGACATGTCTATTTCTGTTAACAGATAAAACTTTCTACCCTAAGGTCGACTGCAGCCCTCTTTGTTGCTACCACATTTTCAACTAGTAGAAGAACCAGAGGACTGGAGGAAAGCCATGAGTTTCCTGTTGCTGAAATTCTGCTGGTTTCTTCACTATCCTTCATATCTAAATAGGATGTCTGCTTATTGTGATTGTTATTTCTGCAGGCAGTCAACGAAGTCCAAGCTATCTATGAAAAAGCTTATGAAAACTACATCAGTGATCAAAGCAAAAACAAAACAATCATCAGATTTCATGATGCAGTGAGTAATATGAATTCAGAAATGTTGCTCACCAATGTTGCTTTTAGATGATTTCATTGATTTGACAATGAATCCAGTGATTCAGTTTGCATAATGTTTGTCTTTCCCCTTCTGGAATTTTTATTCTTATTGAAATCAAGCTAGATTCTATGTGGTACCTGATTTCTCAGTCATTTCTATGGTTTCTTAATTTACTATAATGGTCAGCAATCTCTCCAGGCCTTGGTACACACATCTTTCTAAATCTTCCTAAATATGGAAATTTCATCTGGAAGACTTTGGTAAAGCACTGAAGTTTCATTAAATCACATGTGATATCTTGAAAACACTGCAGGCAACATTAGCAAGAAGGCATAATAAGAATCTTGGCATAGAGGCTATATTTATTTATTATACTCATCCTGACAGTTAAGGTAGCATGTATAAAACTATTTCTACCACCGTTCCTTTAAAAAAAGTCTTTATTATAATTCTCTTGGTTTTTGCAAGACTATCTGTACCAATATAGTCTGTTTTACTCATGACAATGATGAGATAATGTCCTGCCACATATATTTCTGACATCATTTGCTAAGTTTACTTTTTCCTTAGCAGGACCTAGATCAATGTTTCCCAAAGCGTGATCTGTTGCTCACAGTTCTTAGAAAAGAAAAGGAAACCCAAATGCTTACTCTCCTTTGCCTCTGTGGAGAACTGCTGGATACAGTCTCCCAAACACTCTGATAGAGAGGGAAAGTGAAAAACTTTCCTTTGATGTTTCTGATGTTTCTACCCAGAGTGTTGCTAAGCATTAAAATTTTACTTCACCATGTGCAATAGTCTATTCTCCATGTTGCACGTGTGTAAAGAATTTCTTTAAAAAACAAATGCCACAAACAAACAACACTGCAATGAATTTGCTTCCAGATCTAGGTTTACTGAGCTTGCCTTTGGAGTAGAGCTGTCTCCCTTATTACAAGAGGGCTTAAATGCTTATTTTTATCCATATTGTTACCATAAGGTTACTGTACACCAGGCACATATGCACATACCTATATGGGAGCCAGTGTAGTAATTTTGTGGCACTGGGAAGACTGGAATTCAAAGCCATCCTCAGCATAGAAACTAAGGGCCAGTAACACACTCTCAGCAAAAGCTACCTCACAGGTTATTCTTGTGCAGATAAAATCTGGAATCCTCCACAGACAGACAGACAGACAGACAGACAGACAGATATATACAAGACAGAAGAGAGAAGGAGAGATCAAAGTTATAAAGTAAGCTATCTCACAAGAAGTGGGGTACAGCAAAAAGGTATTAAAACAATAAACATATTAAACACAGTCATGTTTTTTAAAAAAGAGTACACACAAAAGACTTGATCAGCATTTTCAAGTTTATCCAATGCAAGGATTAATATAAGTAGAACTTTAAGTGTTTATTTGACTCTTAAATATGTATCTTTCTTTACACCCAGTGAATCATTTATCTTGTCAGTTGATCTATGCCTCATTCCCTTGGTAGGCTTTCAGTCTTATTAACCACAGAAGCAGCCATAATACCAAATTTAGAATAACTTCTCATCATACATGTGACCATTTGTTTGTTGATCCTTCTTAGTTAGTTGTGATAAGTGTATAAATCTATGCCATAGGGCAAGACTTAAGGAAAGTCCAAGACAGCCTACAGTTTGTTTCTTTTGTATGCTTGGCTGAGCTTGAATTCTTAAGAGGCTTTGTTAAAAACTGAACTTAATCCAATACAACTTGATTCTACTGCATAATATTGCCACTCAGCAGCTAATATTCGGGGGGGGGGGGAACCAATTCCTTTATTTCCAGTGCCATAAGATTTAAAATAGTATTACATTTTGCCACAGCAAAATGTAGGAAGCAGGTAAACAGATTCAAAAATGACAGACTCACAAATGAGATAGAAGCTGAGATTTATTTATTTTATTTTATTGATAAAATAGACCAAAAGAATAACTTTAACTGCAAAGTTTAATATACATGATATATTCATATATAAAGCAAGAAATCAAGAAACAGTAACATTCAATAGAAGAATGTGAATACAGAAATTCAGGTTCCTTCAGCTGTTGGGAGCCCCGTCCCTATCACAGACAATGCTGAATCTTCCTCTATTACATTGGCTAGTGTGTAGCACTTTTCCTGGGCAGGCCTGTGTTGAAGGTCATCCCTGTACTTTGAAAAGTTTTTGGTTATTTATACATACCATTTCTCTGTTGGTTATCAATAGTTTATACAAGATGCTGGTAGCTCATGCTTCAACCACTACTGAACCTCAAGTTAGCAAAGCTGTTTTAAAAGGAAGAAATGGCTCTTGAAATGGCTACATCAGAAAGGAGAAACAGCTGAAGGCAGGGGGATTGAAGGGAGAATCTTATCAGCTCACTTTTTAAAATCTATGGCCTTCCGGAGAAGCAAATAAATGTTCACAATACCACTACAAATCTAGAGAACATTTGCTACATGCTGAATTTGATAAAGCTCCCAAGTGCTCTTCAGGGGTAGTCTCATATACAGAAATCACAGAAATCAAGCCGTTAGATAACTAGGTCATGTATGACTGTCGGAAGGACCTTCTATTCTTGAAAAGGGCATAACTGGCACCCCAGATGAAGCTCTGCAAAGGCTTTCCTGGCCACAGTTGCCATTTGCTCAATAGGCAGGAGCTATGAGTCCAAGAAGACCCTTTGAACTGTGCACAACTCCTAAATGGAGAACTGCTATCCTATCCAAGGTTAAAGATGGAATACTACCCAGATCGAGGCAACTCTAATATCCATAACCATACAGACCAGTCAAGTTTGAATGGAAGATGATTCCTTTGCATCTATAAATTGGATTGGAATTATTAATTCATGTTATACGTTGCAATAAGTATACACTTTGAATAGTATAATTGGGATAAGCGTATTTTGGGTTTTCTGAATCATTTGAAAATGATTATTTTGGGAAGATTTGTGATATCTTATCTCTCTCCATCCAGCTTCAATGCTGTGGGAAAGACAGTGACGCTCAAGTAAAACCCACCTGTCCAAAAGAAATTGTGCCGTCTAAAGTAAGTGCCTCTATTCTGTCATGTCATCCTGATACAGAAGTCAAAAATAACCTAGAAATGGGGTAAGACATGTTGGGAATATCATCTCCAAAGGCAGAGGAGATGATCTGGACAGGAGCCATTTGGCACCAAAGTAGGATGCCAGCAAGATGATTTCTAAGCAGTTTGTTTGCTTTGTCAATTATACACACATCCATATATCTGAAGAGGACTGCAAAATAAAGCAAGCAGTATTTATTGCAGCCAATTGCTTCTTCGGCCCTTCCAATTTGCTTGCAACTTCCTGGGATGTCAGAACTGATCATTGCCATTTCCTGGTTTTGCTAAAATGAAAAATATCAGCAGATATTTTTTTTAATTTATTTGTCATGCCATGGCAAGTAGCAGTGTGGATGAATTATCCTTATCAAGTTCATAATGCAGAAGAAAAGGTTAATGTCCCCAGTGCAATCATATATATAGTTCGCTGTTTATTTTTTTAAAAAAAGAAAATAATTACATACATTCTATTGTTTGGTTAATATGCACCATTTATAGATAGTCCTTGACTTATGATTACAACTGAGCTCAACATTTCTGTTAATAGGTGTGACAGTTGTTAAGTGAGTTTTGATCCAATTTACAACCTTTCCTGCCACAGTTGTTAAGTGAATCACCGCAGTTGTTAAATTGGGTAACACAATTGTTAAGTGAATCTGGCTTCCCTATTGACTTTGCTTGTCAGAAGGTCACAAAAGGTGATCACATGACCCAATACACTGCAGCAGTCATAAATATGAGTCAGTTGCCAAGTGTCTGAATTTTGATCACATGACTATGGGGATGCTGCAAAGGTCGTAAGTGTGAAAAATGGTCAAAAGTCACTTTTTACAGAGTCATTGTAACTTGAATGGTCACTGAATGAACTGTTGTAAGTCAAGCACTACCTGTACATGCAAGGACGTCTACATTATTCATGCAACTTGCAGGATTAATAGACCGTGTTGGTTCCCTCACTCTTACTGAGTAGCTTCATGAGAGGTTTAGCTTAATCTGATTTCTTCTCCTGAGCCAAAATTTCCGGATGACCTTCTCTTAGAGACTAGTTAGAGCTGGGTCCAAATAGAATTACATTGCAGACCTGTCCAAATGAACTTAATTTTGGTTGCGTGAACTTTCATAGCTAGTTCAAACAAAATAAACCAGACAAATATATAGTTGACAGTCTAATTTTATTTTCAATGAAAATAGAATTACGTTATATGATTGTCATGGATAATGTATGCTATATAGTTCAGTTTCTCTTCACTGATTTTCCTGCCTGCAAATATAAGCTTAACCATGCATGCCACATCACTTTCTGATACAGTGCAATTCTGTATTCCAATATTTTTATTCATAGACTGACTATGTGTAGACCTGGAAGATTGCACTGCATAACTAGAGAGGCAGAAATCCAGGGAAAGAAGAGAATGAAGTTGCAGGCATCTGCATGTGAGGCAAAAGAGGAAGCTTGCATCAAAAACATAAGAGGCATAGTTTGTATCCTGATTGTAACACTTGTGTCATTCTGATAAAATCATCATATTCTGCAGATGCCTATGTATACTATTTCAATGAATCAAGGATGCTTTCAATGAATCATAATGAAGTTAAATAAAAGCCATTTTGTTATGAATCATTTTTTTAAAAAATAAAGATTTTAAAAAGATAAAAAAGAAATAATGAACAATAAGATTTTTTTAAAAGAAAAAAAATAAAAAGTGTGAAAATACAAATGGAAAAGATATATAAAGAAATGACATCTGATTTTCTTTACAACAGTAACAAATAAACTTATTATATCTCCTCCCTCATTCAAATTAGTTCATTAAGTCCCTTCTTCCCATATTCAACCCTTTTTAATCAATAAGTCACCAGTTCATTTTTTTTTTCATTTTCACCAACTGCATTGATTTAAACAGAGAGTATATATTTAATGAAATTATATATGACATGAGGGCCAAGTATTTCTATACACTAGAAGAATGGCATAATATCCTTCATGGACAAAACTGCTAAGTATTTCAGATTCTACATAAATTCAAACATCTTGCAATCGTATTTTGGGAAACATGCATTCTTTTAAATGAATCCCTCCTCATATATTTGGCAGCTTGGAGTTTGCATTGCAGCTATAGCAAAGGCAATAAAGGAAGGATGGAACAGAGGGTACAGCCAGAAACAATTATGGCTGTTCCCAGGGCACTGCTGAAATTATTGTTTTTAGCATAATATAAAAGAAACTGGAGTAGGAAGGATGTTCTAGCATCTCTTAGGATCAAAAAAAGGAGCTGAAAAGAGGAAAAGGAGATAATAAGGTGCTAGATTAAAATATATATATCTGCCACAGGTAGAGCTGGTTGTTGAGAATTCATATTAGCAGATTTAGGAAAGGATTTAAGACTTTAATGTCTTTCATGTTTTGAACAGAACTGTCTGACTGAAATAGAGACTCTTGTTAATTCAAATCTTCATTTACTTGGCATTGTTGGGATTGCAATTGCTGGAATCACAGTAAGTAATTATCTGATTGTACTGACTATTGTTGTCATCAATAACAACTCTGTATTTACACAAACCTGAAATCTTTCCAAAACATTGAAATTATAGCAATTACTAAGGAGAACTGAGAATCACTGTAAGTGTCCCTTGTATGGACCTCAGCTGGCATGCTGACTGGGGGAATTCTGGGAGATGAAGTCCACACATCTTAAAATTGCTGAGATTTGAAAATTTTGCTCTAGAAGCAATACAAGATGTAAGATTCCTTGTCCACTGTAGTCACAATACCATCACTGAATTATGACTATGGGGCCAAACAACAAACTGTCCAACACATAGTATCAGAGTGCCAAAATAGAACGTATAATGAGACTTTGTTAATTTTTTGGCTATGACTAATGAAGCAAAAAAGTATATTTATAATCTAAATATATGTTTATAATATTTAGATCTTTTTTATATTTTGTATTTTTCCCCTGTGTTTTTATCGAAATGTAATGTGAATGTGCCATATAATTAATAAATAAATGCATGTTTTAGGTAAAAAATATGGATGTTAATTGCTTCCACACAACCAAGAATAGGATCTTGGAAGTAAAAGGACTTTCTTCAAATTTTAATGGTCCATATTTATATTACTTCATTACATTATTTCATGTATTTCATCATATTTATATGACCACTCATCACATAAGTAAGTGACTCTTGGTGGTATACAAAAAAACCTAAAAACAATTTAAGCAAACAAGTTTTATTTATTATTTTTACTTTTAAATTATAAAAGACACAACACTAAAAATAAAATATATATATTTTAACTTCTTTTAGCTATTTAATTTAAAATAAACGGTCATCTATCTATCTATCTATCTACATCTACATCTATCTATGTAGGTAGGTTCTGGGATAGGGACATTAGATCAGGCATTAAAGCAAAATCTCTAGTAGCACTGATTATGTTACCTAGTTTGGTAATGAAATATCTGCAACAAAACAACCAAACTCACAGAGCACCAAGAGCCTTCAGAGTTTTATTTGCCAGTCAGAATAATTCATATAGGCCTGGCTGGGAACATAATACTAATAAAATAGAATCAGATAGATACCTGGATGAGAAGTGTTTGAATATTAGTAGTAGGGTTGGTAGTTGGGCTATTGGTTTGATCTCCGAGCTTGGCGATTTGGCTGCAAACATTTCATCTCCATTCAGGGGGGGACATCTTCAATGTGCTCTGAATTGTGCTTGTCTGTCAGAACACTGGCCTGGTTTGAAGACTATGGCCTAGCAGCAACAACCAGCCAATCAACCAGCTCAAAACCAGACCATGACTCAGAAACATCCGGACAAATAACACCCACACCAAATTACATCACACAGAAAGGTATGTAAAGGTCAGTGCTCTGACAGACGAGCACAGTTCAAAGCGCACTGAAGATGTCCTCCCCAAATGGAGATGAAATGTTTGCAGCCAAATCGCCAAGCTCGGAGATCAAACCAACAGCCCAGATACCTGGATATTTGAGTTTTTTTCCTGAAAAATAAGGAGAAAAAAACGTACAAAATACTTATAGTATCATACTGTGATCTTGAAGTAACCAAAATGTCTAGTGAACAGAGATTAATTCCCAAGAAAAACCACTCAAATTCTCTGAATCTTTGCTCATATGTGACAAATGTTGCATTTTTAAAGTTTAAAATAATGCTCTCATCTTTCAGATCTTTGGCATGGTCTTCAGCATGGTCCTTTGTTGTGCTATCCGAAATACAAGAGACATGCTTTAGAATGTTTCCTGTTTCGCGTTACTTTGAACCCAGGACTGAAAGAAAAGCTGCAACACAGTTCTGAAGAAGTGCTTGCCCACTCAACTTAACAACTGTAATCCATTTTAATTAGATGTTAATCAACTGACAGAAAAGAGGGGTGTATGATGAGTTCAAGAGCTTCTTGTGATTGCATTTAAAATTTTTAAACAATTAAGATATGAGCAATAAGATAGGCTAACAATCCCTTTTCAAGGCCAACAGTGATATCTAAAACTAAAATTTATTTGAAGTATGACTTTGCACAGGTATGGAGGAATAGGCCCTGTATGTATGTGTGCTTGTTTGGGTGCTGATGCACTTATAGCTGTATATACAGTTCCTTTTATTGTATGTATGTTTTGTGAGTATCTTTATCTGCATGCATATTTCTGCAATATGTATATTATGCATGCGCATGAGTGTATACACACACACACTTGGGTACTTTTCCTGATAAAAGGTTTTTCAAAATCAGGTCCTCATTACTAATCATTTTTGGAGAAGCACATTTCTTTAGGGAAATGAGTACTCTGTCGTATCTTCTTTCAGTCTTTGGAATGTGCCATTTAAGATAATGTCAGGCAGGAAAGACTAGGACCACATGTGTAAAATAATTTATTACTACTCTTGCCTATGCAAGGAATCTACTCAACTAATGGGTAGCACTGTTTTGACTTTAGATAATGGTCAAAGGAAGTCAAGAGGGGGGACTTAGTCCTGTTGTGGGCATGTAGAGACTCTAGGTTGATTCCTCTTTTGACTCTGCCTACGGGTTCTGCCACTTTTCCTGTGGATAACTATATTTAAAGAATGTGTTCTGCTTCTAGGCAGCTCTCCCCTTGGAAGCGTGTGTGTATTTATATATTTAGTTATATGCAGAATTATTTATATGATAGAGATTGATGGGGAATTCTCTGACCTTTTTAAAGAAAAGCAGAGCAAAAACTAAGAGATAGTACCAAACCAGCAGAGATCTGTTAAAACCCAAACTTTTATTGGGACCAAGATATCCTGTCCAGTCATGTTTTTATATAGGGTCTATTTAAAACATGACCAGGTACCTCGATCAGGAACTTAATTTCATTCAAAAAACTGTTCCTTGTTTGGGTTATTTTTTCCAAATGCTATTTAGTATCTATTGTCCTAATTATTTTTAATATGGACCAGAAAACCTTACCGTAGCATAATCTAAAATTGATGCCCAAATTATTTTATATGTTTACTATGATGATTACACAATGCACACCATATCCTTTCATGCCACTGTAACATATCCCTTAAAGTATGTTGATACAAAATCAATTCCTGTTCATTGGGACTTACGCTTTTATTAATACCCTTAGGAATGCAGCTTAGTTATTTGCCGCAGAGACCATAATAACCATAATGCTATTTGCAACCTTTTATTTGTTATAACAATTGAATGCTGGCTTTACACAATAGGGAACATACCTAATATAAAAAATAATATTTATTATTATTTTCATGTTTCAGTCCAAGTTAACCATGCGCTTTCATTGAAATCAATACTTCTCAACCTTGGGTAAAAATTAACTCAATTTGTGTATGCATATTTGTGTGTTTAAAAGAAATGTTCTTAAAATAACATGTCCATCCACAAATACGCAAGGCATTTTGAAGCTCAAAGCAAACTTCAAAAGCATGAGACAAGTACATCAAAACAGGATTAGGTGTATAGGAGAATATAGACAGTTCCTGAAGACCATGAACAAATGTTCAGCATTACATTACAGGAATTGTCATTAATGATTGTCAAGAATAATAACTAGTAATGGTGACAGTTATGCAACCATCCCAGGCATAGAATTCATTCTAAGCTTCACTCTAGTTGTTTGAACCGTGGGCACTAATACATTTAGAAAAAAGCAGAAAGCTTATATTGAAAGATAAACTCTACATGTTTAAATTTGTCCTAAATCCTGTATGTAAAAAAATTATATCAGACAAATTAATCTTCATAGTTCAGTCTTTTGCTTTATCTATGTTCTCAGACTGCTAGAAATCAGTACAGCCAATCAGTGCTCAAAGAAAAACTATTTGTTCCTGCCAGAAATGTGTACAGCACATGCCAAAATCAGTCATAAAATTAAAACCCTGTCTTTAGTGTTCTGGCTATAGAGCTAAAATTAAAACATTGAGAGGTGAGCAATTGTACTTTATCTAGTCATGGCATGGCTATCTAAAACTGGATAAATGTAGAAATGATACAATGCTCTTAAAATACCTCAAGGCTGTTTACAGCTTATAACTGTGCTTTGTCTTGTTTATATTAATTTCTACTAAATTATATATTAAAAATAATTTGGTAAAATTAAGCTAGCCAGAGGAAAATCATTGTGGTGCAGTCTTAATATACTATATTACAATCAGTGGGGTTCTACCAGTGACTTAAATGGAAAGTGCATTGTGGGAACTTTTAAATGTCCCTTTCCGGACAAGCTATAATTTTAGGAATCAGAACTCAAGCAATAATTCAGTCTTTCTGTCTCTTTTTATTTAGTTGTTTAATTTTCTTTTAACTAGAAACATGCCATCTAAAACAATGTGTTAGGAAATTTTCAATTGTTAATAAAACACCCTCTTATATTATGTTTTTCATGAACATTTTTCATCAAAATATATTCAAAGCATATTTGATTTCAGGGGAAATCTATCTTATTGGGGTCTTCATTTGAAATTCAGTGTGCTGAGAACTCTACTTAGGCATCAGGAGGGGCATCCAGCCAGTAAATGCTCAGCTCCATCCAGTTGCCTCAACTCTACCCTAAATTAAGGGATTACAGGGTTGTAAAAAGGGAGTTACTCAAGTATATGTCTGTATATGTGTGTTGAAGAGAGAAAGGGATAAGTGCCCCAAGTTGTGTGAGTTATTCCCTGTTTTTTCTCAGTCTTTTATTGTGTTTATATCCCATCTCTCCAACAAATTTCAATTAACTCTACTGCTTGTCGCAGATAAGTTATTTGGACCCATTAGAAAATAAGTCAAGAGACAGGAGATATACCTAAGGAAAGGTATCAAATGCCTAATTCACCAACTGCCCTTGAGACCAGTTGGATGCTGGCATTTTCCTGAAGTCCAGATATGGGTCTCATAATGGAGAAAATATTACTAGAGGTCTGAGAACCTAAATGAACTGCCTGGTTACTTAGGATGCAGTTTCATCAGTTCTGAAGTAATTCCTATCAGGAATTTCTGTTTAACAGAAACAGAAATAAGTATGTAATAATTTTTAACTTTAAAAAGGTCATTGGTATTAACTATCATAAAATTAAGAGTCTGGAATCAATTTCTGCTAATTTTCTGTTTTGAAAATGATTTCCTGGAATTTTTATTCCAGAAGAAAAAGAAAGTAGAAGGACTGAAAATGTGATTTCCCCATAAAGTTAGTTTTTCTTTTAAAATACAGGTAGTCCTAGTCTTACAATAGTTCATTTAGTGACCGTTCAAAGTTACAATGGCACTGTAAAAAGTGACTTATGACCATTTTCACACTTATGACTATTGTAGCATCCCCAGGGTCATGTGATCAAAATTCAAATGTTTGGCAACTGGTTCATATTTATGACAGTTGCAGTGTCCCAGGGTCATGTGATTTTTGTGACCTTCTGATAAGCAAAGTCAATGGGAAAACCAGATTAACAACTGCAATGATTCACTTAACAACTGTGGCAAGAAATGTCATAAAATGGGGCAAATTCACTTATGTAACATAAATGTTGGGCTCAGTTGTGATAGTAAGTCAAGGACTACCTGTAAAATGTCCTTAAGAATAGACATCTCTTTCATTATTATGCCAGCCATTCTCAAATTGGACCAGAACCAATCTAAAACCAATCTAAAAAGGGAAACAGCATGTGAAACACTGGAAAAATAAGCAATTTCGGAGTCTCTGTAGCAATCGCCCTGTCCTACAATCCTCAGCTCTGCTTTGTTCCTGCCTCTTCTATTTGCCCTCCTGTGTTTCATGCAGACTCAGGCTTATTCAGCTGGATCGCACATCAGCATAGGGCAATGTTGTTGCCCTACTGCTTGTTCTATGTTCTAGCTTTAGAAGCCTTTGGGAAGCTGCTTCAGGACAGTCCATGTAACTGGTATGGATAATTTTGGGAAAGACTTTGAAAATTCTTCTGTGTTCCAAATTTTCCACATCAGGAGCAGAAGACAAATTCTATTTAATCTGTGCTCCTGTTTTTCATTTTTGATTGTTTTTCTCTTCTCATTTGGGTTTTAGAAGAGCTGGGTGAGCTGTTGCTGTAAATACCGACGAAATGTAGCTTTATTCTGGTAGCTGCATTTTTATGCTGGGAAACTCTGAGCATGCTTGTTTTCTTGCAGACGTTTCATTATCTGAACTAGGTAACATCATCGGTGCTAGTGATGGCACTGATTGTGTTATCTTGTTCAGGTAAGGAAATGTCTGCAAGAAAACAAGCAAGGTCAGAGAGCACCAAGGACCCCTCATGTCAACCTTGAGCTACAAATATTCTCCTTATGCTGGGAAAGTACACCAACTCCCCATACTAGCCCCAAAATAGTATCATTGAACAAGTACCAGGTCATAAATGGTTCCACATTGTCTGCTGGTGACCATTTGTGATTTTTATGAAATGGTTCTCGTTTATAGACCTCAGATCTCCTTGCTAAACAATGCTGATAAATAAGCTGTGGCTTAAACACCAGGATGAGAAGGCAGGGAGGTGAATATGATAGCTATGACAATGGATTGGAAAACACGTGCACTGTCTGGTAATGGAAAAACAGGAGCAGAGACCTTCCTCCATACATATATGCCATTGCTTTAAAAAATGTATTGGAGTGTTGGCAAACTTTGTTGTTGCACTCATTGGAGAAACCATTCTTGCTTCCAAAAAGTTATCTATTATTGCTTGGCTGCTTCTTTATCTTTAAGTGCCTTTTGAAGAACAGGACAAAATACCAATTCTATAAATAGAATTTTGAAATTAAAATCAAACGTGAAGCTTAATGAAGTGAGTTTCCATCTCCTTGCTGGCATCGCATTGTCTTTATTTTTATGAATATAATTGTTAACACTTATCTTAAGATCATCTATTCCTAAAAATGATAAAAGAATATGTGTTTGGATGCAGATTGAAATTAAATATATTCTTTTTGTGTCAAAAAAATCTTACCAGTGCCTTTAAAAACACCATGGCTCTATTCTCCTGATCTTACAATTTCCAGTGTCATTTTGGTAGGTAGTCCCTTACATTGAATTACATCTCTGAAACATCATATCTTGAATGTTGGCAAGGGTTAATTCTTGGACTACATTTTCCTATGCATATAAATTATGTGTGCATGCTGTTGGCATATACATTTTCTAAGTTGTTTCACTTAAGAGGACCAAGTCAGATGTGCTAAGAATGGCCCAAAGCCATGATAACTAGCCC